CAACATTTTGATATTATAATTAATTAAAAAATATATTCTAGTGGGTATCTTTTTTGGGGGGAAAGGAGAGGATAGTTGGGCTTCTGGGTCACACCTAACAGTCCCCAAGGCTTACTTCTGACTCTGCTGTGCTTAGAGGTCACTCCTGGCTCTGTTGGGGAACCCTTAGGGGTCGGCCACATGCAAGGCCTTACATCTCTTATATAATAGGTTTCTGACCCACAACTGAGGATTTTTGTATTTTATTAGTTTTGAATTAGCATTTTACTAATGATTAATTAGTATATATCTAATTAATAGCTTTTTAATAAGCTCTATATCTTTTCACATGCTTTTAGATATTCACATTTTAAAAAAACTCCAAATATTTCACAATCACAATCAAATCACAAATCATCCTGTTATTCGTCGATTGCCTCGAGCAGGCCCCAGTAACGTCTCTTTCATCCTAGCCCTGAGATTATATTCAAGGCTCTTTAGGAGAATGAGACCCATCATTGTTACTGGTATTTGGCATATTGGGTACGCCGCGGGGAGTTTGCCAGACTCTGCCGTGTGGGCAGGCTACATTCGAGAGCCTGCCAGTTTGTCAAAGTAGGAATGAGATGTCACAATAAGATGTCGCGCGGCCGCATCAGGCGCCTGGTCAGGGCGGGGAGGAAAGCTCAACCTGCTCCCCTCCAAGGGGCCCCGGCGAGGAATAGCCAGGCACAGGGGCAGGAGACTGCCGCCCTGACCAGGGCCCCGGCAGCCGAAGACCTCCAGGACCAGCCACCACCATGCTGAGACCACTCTCCGCACACCTGAAGGTACCGGCAGAGGGACAAAGCCGACGTGGGTTCCGGGGCCGAGATCTCCAAGCCTACTCGGATTGGAGTCAAGCATCCTCCACCCAGGTCCTCCAAATTCCAGTAGGCGGGGGTCAGGGGGTCACACCCACCAACTGGCCCTCTGGCCCTCTGTAATCCCATCAGCAGCCAAGACTCTGAGACTATAAAAACCAGCTCCCGGAGTAGAAGAGTGTAGTCTCCTGCCCCCGCGCCTGGCTATTCCTCGCCGGGGCCCCTTGGAGGGGAGCGGGTTGAGCTTTCCTCCAAATATTTAATTCATATTAAAAACCGGTTTTTGTATTATTAAATTATATTTTTATTGATTGATTTTTTGGGGCCACATCTAGTGGTGCTGAGAGCTTACTGCTGGCTCTACACTCAGGGATCACTCTTAGCAGAGCTTGGGGTATCATATGGGGTGCTTGGGACTAAACCCAGGTCAGTTGAGTGCAAGGCAAGCATCTTACCCGCTGTACTAGCTCTCTGGCCCCATTAAATCATCTTTTAAAAAGATAAAAATTAGCTACACAGCAGTTTCAGACCAGTATTTTGTTAATATTTTCTACCAGTGTTGATTGCTCTTCTTAATAGAGTCTTGAAAAAGCAGAATTTTTTATTTCTTTTTAAATATAATTCTTCAAATTTTTCATTTTATGGTTTCTATGCCCTTTAAAAGAAGTCTGTGCCTAATTTAAGAAGGTCATGATAACTTCGTCTATGTTCTTTGAAGAAGTTATAGCTTTACATGTAGATTTATATTCATGGCCTGTTAATTTTTCCATGTGGAGTGAAATAAGGTTTGAGGTTTATTTTTGCATCTCATGTCTAGTTATGCCAGTACCGTTTGCTAATCTAAATAGCAATACCCTTTGGATTATTATTTTTATACTGTACTGTCTTCTATTAAATTAACTGTCTTCTATTAAATTAACAACTAAAAGGGAAGGAAAGTGGGAGAAAAACCAAGAGCAGCCTGGGACGGATTTATATTTTCACAATATTGAGTCTTTTGGTCCACTAAAATGATAAATTTTTTTCATTTTTACTTAGGTTTTAAAATTTTCTTTGCAATGATTTATGTAACTTATTTTGTATAACCTTTTAATGTATTTTTAGACAAAATTTATGACTGCAATCATGATATAAATGTCATGCATTTTGTACTTTAAATTTCCTGTTGTTGGAAGTATATAGAAATCATCCAATATTGATTTGCTATATTGACATGTATTTTGTAACTTTGATCATCATATTTTTTCTAACAGGTCTTTTAGAGATTCCCAGGGATGTGTGAATAACAGTTACCTGTAAATAAACACATGTATCTAGTTGAAAAAAAATTAAAACTTCACAGGAATAATTTATTGAAATTATTTTAAGGAGATTAGCCTAAAGACTGCTGAGTAATATATTTGCTACATTAGGGAAAAAATAAAAACTAAAAATAAAATTCTCTCAGTTTGTAGAAATGCTGAGATCAACCCAATTTACTCCTTAAGCTATTACCTTACGTGCACTGTAAAACCTTTTCCAAGAAGCAAATAACCAAGGATTATACCCTATGGAGTCAAGAGTCACTTTAGTACAACAGAAAACAAAGCAGCAGTGCATAAACCTCACATATTTTTATTTTTTATTTTTGGTTTCTGGACTATACTCAGAAACCAAAGCTCAGAGAGTACTCTTGGCTCTGTCCTCAGGATCATTTCTGGTGGGATTTGGGGGAAGGACATAAGGGGTGCGGGGATTGAACCTGGGTCAGTCACAGGCAAGGCAAGTGCCTTACTCTCTGTACTCTGGCTCCAGCCCTGCTCACATACTCTTCAAAGTAAACAAAAAGTCAAAAGAAAGCTGTTTTGCTGATGGGGTATTTCTAAACTAGTCTTCTATCTATTTGTTTTGTTCTCTGGGACACACCTGTCAGTGCTCAGAGCTTACTCTTGGCTCTGTGTTCGGGGATCACTCCTGACAAGGCTTTGGAGGTGCTGGGGATCAAGCCGTGGTCAACTGTGTGCAAGGCAAGCATTTTACTTGCTGTACTACCTCTCCAGCCCTCTTTTTATAGTTGTGTTTCAAAGCAGATGGCTAAAAATGAAGAAAAAAGAAAAACCCAAAAAACCCATATTCTTAAAAAAAAAATTCTTTTGGTATTTTATAATCATAGTCCAGTGGTTAGGGCCAACTGTATTTCAATCTTAGTTCAGTTCTTGAAGGTTTTTTTGACTTTAGGTAAGGCAGGATGTCTCAATTTTCTCAACTGGAAAATTCACACCATTTCATAATAATTTCTAAGGTTGTTGTGAGGATTGAATGATCTAATATACGTAAGGCAATTAAAATATTCATAAAATAAAATATTCAGCAATGTTCTATTTTTTTCTAATAGCCTATATAACTGAGATGACAGTAAGATAAAATAATTAACTTTAATTGATGTTGGCTAATGGGTATTTTTAAAGAAGCGATGCCATAAAATACCACATAATCTGTAAAATTAGTACATATTCTACTGACAACACCATGAGAGAAATGTTAATGTAAAATGAATGTTTGATGTATAATACCTGATATTGCTGTCCTGTGTTGTCTAAGGCTATTTAATAAATAATGTATTTTTCAACTTATAATATGCTTAATAAGATATAAAAGAAGAAGAGTTCAACGTGATAACTGAATACAAAAATCTAATTCAACTGAAATATACACAAGACGGTTGCTTGGATAAACTGTAATAAGTTTTCCCCACCCAAAATCATGGACTTCTAAAGTCTTTCTTTGCAAGTTTTATTTTCAAAATGGGGATTGTTCTGATTGAGAGCATATTATAGCGTTTTTTCTACAGTTACTTCACTATTTGGATTTTCTGAGAACTCCTTTATTTCCAAATACACTAGCTCATCCTAAATGTGTTTTTTTTCCATATAATAATTTGGAGGGAAAAGACAAAGAAAAGCGATGAACAAAACTAATGCTCTTAGATGCTATAAAGTTCCAAATAGTACAGGAGTTGGTCAGCGGATCATGCTAGAGCTCTCTACTCGGGCCTGTTACCCTCACTTCTTTCCCCCTTGCCTGAGAAAGTAGACTCAGTCCTAGGCTTTGTTTCTCAGGAGGAAGGAAATTTGTATGATAGACTCGAGGGAGAAAGATAGATCAGAATTCCTTGGGCTTTAAGGAAGAACAGTGAAGATGATGGTAGAAAATTGAAGAATCATTGCATTGGCAGGTTATCTATCCCTTCACCGTGCAGAATCTTCTTTCAGTGATCTCTGATGGCCCCTCAGCTTCTGCCTAAACTGGGATAGGTCAGTGTCTTTACATTTTTTATAGCTAATTAACCTCTAAGTCCTAAGTATCAGACCTTTTAAGTAGCTCTTACATTTGTCCAGTGTTTCCCCTCTCGCTGTCTTAGCTGAGCCCTCTTTCGCCCTTTAAGTGGTCCTGCATTCAGAGCTAAAGACCAGATTTCCAGCTACCGGACACTTGATCTCTAATCCATCCTCATATGGCAACCTGCAGAGTGAAGGCTCTAAAACACAAAATAAATCCCATTATTCCCCCACTTAAAGCCCTTTGCTGGTTTCTCTCACAAAGAGCTGAAATTCTTAGGTTTTAGTCTGAAACCCATGACCTCATCTAATTCCCCAGTTCAAATTTCAACAACGCTACATCCTCATTCACTGAGAGTTTTACCTCTCCATGCTGCTGCTCACGTTGCTCTCTTTCGTCGAATATTCTCCCTTCCCCTCAACCAGGTAAATAAATTTAGAAATATCCGCAGAAAGACAGTCCTTGACGCCCCCTCCTGTGCAATATAAACAAGCACTCTGCATCTATCTATATCACTGGATTGCTCATATTATATCGAAACCATTAACAGGTTTATCTCTTTCCCTCCAAGTGTAGACCTCAAAGCAGGGACTGTGTCAGAACCTTAGCAGATGGTACAGGATTCATGGCAGCAGGTGTTTCTTACATGCTTAGCTAACACCAAGGTATTTTCTGAAGTTGAGTTAAAATTTATAACTCCAACTGTATAACTGCTCCATTGAGCAATAAAAATGATCCCTCCAGGGAACAGCATTTGGCTAGTGCATGCAAAAAAAACACACACACATTTTTTTTTAAGGCAAAGTTTAAATACTACTTACATGGCATCTGTGCACTCACCTAAGTTGCTGTATGTTGCACTACAGGGATTCAGGTCCACAGGATCTGAAATGTCATCTTTTTCCTCTTCCCCTTCCAGTTCAGGCGAAGGCAGTGCTGGTGTCACGGAAGTACCACCTCCACCATCTTGTTTTGCAAGAGCAGTTCTTGAATCCCGAGAAGAAAAATCCTCCATGACTTCATGTGGCACGTGACTAAAACAAATCAGATCACAGTCATACTGGTGTTCAGAGATTGCTACAATTTAGGTACACAGTAAGCATAAATGTACTATAACTGGGGACCAGAGCAATAGTACAGTGGGTAGGACATTTGCCTGGCATACGGCCAACCTGGGTTCGAGCCTCAACATCCCATATGGTCCCCTGAGCACTCCAGGAGTAATTCCTGAGACCAGAGCCAGGAGTAATCCCTGAGTATTGCCGGGTATGACCAAAAAGTAAAAAAAAAGAGCCCCCCAAATGTGTTATAAATGTAACTAACTGGCCCCAATGTCACAACTCTGGGTCAGAGTCCCAACATGTTTATTTTAATATAAAGCTGTCAGTCATGCAGACTGCAGGCTGTTCCTTCTATTAAAAATTCAGATTTATAGAGATGGTATGGGTGGCTTAGCGGAAAGCTTGAGAATAACGATCAAGGAGTAGATCTTTTATTTCAAGTAGGAGGTGGTGATGGTGGTAGGAGAAGGAGCTGAATGGTTTAAGACATAGTTAATCATATTGACTATATGATAGTGTGGATCACTACAGAAGGCATTAAATACTTTATGGCATTTGATATGCAAGATTTACTATGTGCTAGAATATTAGAGTATTTAGGAAAGGATTATTAATAAATTGACATTAGTTGATCTAAGTTAAACTGAGACCAGAAAGGTCTTATTGCCAAAGAGGACAGAAGTATCAACCTTTGCCTGGATGCGTGCAGCAGGCAAAGCAAACCAAAAAGAATAGTTGACATTCTAGTTAATCTTATCTGTTAAGGTGAATCAGAAACACCCTGTCAGGTACACTGCAGAATATGGTCATCCATAACACTTCGTGTTCCCAATCTCACTTCATTGCCACCTGCTTACTGCTTGGAGCTATTGTTTCTGTTCTTCCCCGTGCTCCACCCAGCCTGAACTGTCAATTCCATTTTTATAAAAAGTATGAGCCTTTTAAATACTATCAAAGATTTCAAAGTCATTATAAATATCACTGGAGAAAACTGGCCTAGTTAGAAAATCTCACTGGACTGATCAATGAAATAAGTTCCATATTAGGCATCTTTCGTGGTTCCTATGTCTCCTGAAAGTGTTTTGATTAAGACTAGAATATGAAGATGGGTAAAGAAGGGGGAAATAGGCGACTTTGGAGGTACAAGGAAAAGGGACAGGGAAAGCAGAGAATAGGGAAGAGGATCAGCGGGTGTTACACTGTTTTAATTAAATCTGAAGTCATACCTTCACCAGATATTCTTCTTCCTTATTATTTTTTTGAAGGGAGTGGCTGGGAGGAGCACACCTGCTGATATTCAGGGGCTACTCTCAGCTGAGTGTTCAGGGAACACTGCTAGTGGTGCTCAGGGGACCATATGTGGTGCCGTGCCAAGGATCAAACTGGAGTCAGTCACATACAAGAGATGCACTTTAACCTCTGTACTATCCCTCTGCACCCCCTTCCTTTTTATGGCCAATGAGAAAGAAAGAGTTTTCTACACTATTGCATATAATTTCTAGATTTCCAATACGCAGTGAATTACGGTGACATTTACAAGTTTCTTTAAAAGAGGCACTTGGTTTGATCGTATGTCATCAGAACATCTATCACCTACGGATTTGAGTAGATCTAAAGGAGGAGTAGCTTCTTATCAATCTTTCGTTATGGAAATTATGCCTGTGCCAGAAAAGTAGGATAAGCCTTGAAGTCTTCTGGATATACAACTTCAGAAATACTCTTTTAAAGCTGGCAGAGCTAGAGGTATCTATGCTAGGACTACACGATGCTTTGGAAGGTCTGTTTTAGGAGCTGGTTTTGGGGGGATTGTGACAAGGTGGGAAGAAATCACCTTACTAGCAGCCAACAGGGGGCCTTAACAGTAAAGCAAGATGTCTCTCTTTTTTTTCCTTTTTGGGTCACACTGGACGCTGGAGCGATAGCACAGCGGGTCGGGCGTTCGCCTTACAAGCGGCCAACATGGCCGACCCGAGTTCGATTCCTCCGCCCCTCTCGGAGAGCCCGGCAAGCTACTGAGAGTATTCGATATGCCAGACACAGTAACAACAAAGTCTCCAATGGAGACGTTACTGGGCCCGCTCGAGCAAATCGACGATCAACGGGAGGGCCTTTACCTATTTTTACCTATTGGGTCACACCCAGTGATGCACAGGGGTTACTCCTGGCTTTGCACTCAGGAATTACTCCTGGTGGTACTCGGGGGACCATATGGGATGCTTGGAATCAAACCCGGGTCGGCCACGTGCAAGGCAAATGCCTTACCTGCTATTGCGCCAGCCCCAATATGTCTCTTCTTAGTTGGCTGTCAAAGGTCATCAATTCCAGAGGATCTCTAAACAATGTGGCTCCTCATGATAACGGAGCCCCATGAAATAAATGTAATGTGAAGGGGCTCTACTTCCACACGCCGGCAAAGACAAAGCCAAGTGACACTTCAGAGACAGTAGCAGACACCACTTAGTGTTAAGACTGTAGATGACATGTATGAAAATCTATCTGCAGAAGTACTGTAATCCACAGCGCAAAAACTTAAAAAAAAAACAAATAAACCATAAAAACCCGTCTCTCGTAGAAGCAGACTGCTAGGTGGAGGCAAATGGGAGCAGGGAACATTGGTAGAGGGAAGTGGACTCTGCTGATGGGATCGGAGTTGAGATATTGTATGCCCTAAACCCAATCTCATGAATTGTAACTTCACCATGAACTGTAACTTCATGGTGATGTGAGAGAGAAAGAGAGAAAGAGGAGGGAGGGGGAGAGAGAGACAGAGAGACAGAGGGAGAAATAGAGACAGAGACACAGAGACAGAGAAACAGAGAGGAAGGGAGGGAGGGAGACAGAGAGATAGAGACAGAGAGAAAGAGAGAGAGAGAAAGAGAAAGACAGAGAGAGAGAGAGAGAGAAAGAGAAAGACAGAGAGAGAGAGAAAGAGTGTGGATTACAAGTAGCTATCAACATGCTTCCAGAGAAGGAAAAGGATCTTTGCTGGCAGAAAGTTAACATAAGCCATTTCTGATTTGAAAGCAATAAATATAAAGTGATTAAAAAACATCAGGACGCCTTAAGAGGAAGAATATGAAACCTCCAGGCATTCTTTTATGATAAAGTCAGCTTGAGTGGTTGCTTTAAAAAGCTGTTTTTAGGCTCCTAATCTCTGTAGCCCTGTTCTCATCTCTTTTCTTTCTTCCTTCAATTTCCTCATTATTCCTAAAAGAAAGCTCTCTTTTCCATTTGTCCAAAAGGATTGGTGAAGCCTGGCTCAGAATGATGACCCCGGTGGGTCTGCTTTCCTCCCAGGGAACGGATTATTTTCAGTGGGCTTCAGCTATTGTGAAGACCGCTGAAAGCTGTGCCATTAATTTGTGAGCAATTTTCCTTGAGCCTGTTTCTACAAAAAGGAAACGTAGCCCTGTCCTCTTAAGGGCTTCTCACAACAAAATATGGAACCCACAGAAGTAAGAAACATTGAAGACTCACCCACTATACTCACTCATACAAGTCCCCATTAAAGAAAATTCCACAGTTTCCTTCAGTCTGTTTATTACATTCTGCAGCTCCTCTGAACTACAGATCCCACTAAGTTCTGGAGAGCTACAAGTTGGTGAGATACAAGAGGCTCAAATTCTGCATCTTTATCACACTGCACCTTGACCTTTATCTTCAGGGTTGGGCTGGGAAATATGCCAGATTACCTTTGGAGAGCTAGGTAAAAGCAAAAGCTAGTTTTTATTAACTCCATAAGTACAACTTTTGTTCTATGTCTTTGTTCTTTATGGCCACATTTGGCAATGCTCAGGGGCTACTTTCCACTCCTGGGGGTTGCTCCTGGTGATGCTTGGGGGACCTTGTGGTGCTGGGGATTGAATATGGATCTTCTGCAAGCAAAGCGTATATACACTGGCAGCCTGTTGAGCTATCTTTATGACCCTCTTATGAAGATTATATTCATTTAAAATTAACATACTTAGTATATTAAATCACCAGCTGAAATAAATGCCAACTTAAGGAACTATGCAAAGAGAGTTGACGAAAGTAAAATCATATGGGTGTTAAGATTTTAATCCGCATCTACAGCGCATGGAAAGGTCTCAAAAATTGCAACAATGACCACATATTGTTTGTTTTTTGTTTGTTTGGGGGCCACACTTAGCTATTCTCAGGTCAGGGCTTACTCCTGATTCACTCAGAGGTCACTCCTGGCCAGCTCAGGGGACCATGTGAACAGCCAGGATTGAATCCAGGTCAGCCACGCCCAAGGCAAGCTGTATGCTTGATGCTTGAGGGAAAAACAGCTCTTTGTATAAATAAAGTGGAAAAGAGTGAGTGGGCAGGAAATGGAGAAGTTTTGAGAGGTCAAGTTTAGTTGTATTAAAAGGCAGTGATAACATGCTGTGATTAAAAAATGAAAAGGTACTAAGGACGGCATCCGAGAAGGTTGAACCAGTCACTGTGCATAAACCACACAAACTTTCCAGAAAGTAAAAAAAATTGTTTTGATTTTATGGCAGCATTCAGGAGACCAAAATGCAAAACCTGGGACCCAGGTTGGTCACATGCAAGGCAAATGCCTTACCTGCTATACTACCCCTCCACCCTAGGTGGTCAAATTCATACAGATCTGAGAGAACCAAGGTTTGAGGGAGGGGGTAGAGGGAGACTTACTAGATGAAGATGAAGCTTACTAGAATGAACACAGGAGCATAGGTGGAGGATCTGGAGCAGCTGGGCAGTGGCAAAGGGAGGTAACAGCCTGAATCCAGAAAAGTCAATCAACAAACAGAGGAAGGTCAGGGCAGAGGGGACATAGCTGGAGGGCCACAGGCACTATGGAAGTGGAGTTCATGTGTAGCAACTTTGTACATCAGTGGTATCAGCTCAAACACTATGGAATCCTACTGTCTAAACCAGGACAATACAAGTATCATTTAAGAAAAGATTACTGCAAATTAGGTATGAGCCGGGGGTGTGGGGGC